TGTGCGTCATTTTATTCTTGCAGCCTATAGGCCTTTTTGGTGTAGTTGGTCCATACCAACTACACCAAAAAGGCCTATAGTGCCCTACGTACTCAATACAATAATGCATTTAGGGCGCTGTTGCGGCTGCCGCGCTACTGTAGTGCATTTGCGATGTTTGCACTGGCGGGTGTGGATAGCTTTGATGCAATAATCAGAAAAAAGACCGCATCCTTGCTAAACAGAGTGCGCGGCAGCGGCCACAGTGTGCTGAGTGAGATTGCCGACAGTGGGGACTGTCCACTGATTAAACAAATGATCGCCAGGACTATGTCCTGTTTAATAATAAAGTATTAAGTATAAATTATATTACTAACATAGATGTAAATTTTTCTTTACTAACAAATTCTGTGGATCTTGTTGTCCGAAATAAATAATTTTTATTTTTATTTTTATTTATTTATTTTTATTATTAGCACTCTTAGAGTAACTTCACTCGTAGAATAATTTAAGCGGAATCTGCCGGCACCTACAGTCAACTTTATACTGCACCAACAAGTGGGGGATTTCTTCCATCTCAATCCAACCGGCATTTTTATAGACGCTCCGAGAAATACATTTGTTAGTTGTTTTGTAGCCGCTAATAAGTCAACAAGGAATAATATAAAATAAGAAAAGTGAAAGTTTTCCATTATCACTTATACAACCTGACTGTCCACAATCTACGGTTAATTAAAATATAAACAATTAAATTAAAATATAACCAATACCAACCGATACATTGACATGAAGATATATATATATATATATATATATATTTGGTAGCTGACCTGACTAGATGTTGTTTTTCCCTTTCCGACAACCCTCCCTCTAAAAAATTCTTAAATTCACAATAAAAAAGTATTAAGGGTCACTTATCGGGATAAAAACAATCCTATCTCTGAAATTGGACCAAAATGAACACAGTGTGTAAAATTATATTGAAATCAGTTCAGTAGTTTAAAAGTTTATCACGGACAAACAACGTGACACGTAATCTCTACATAGTATAAAGCAAAGTCGCTTTCTACCCTCTGTACGCTTGGATCTTTTAAGTTAAGCAACGTATTTTAATTTAATTTTCATCACTTGATAGAATAACTCAACATAAAGATTTATATGTACGACACATGCATATTTTATACAATATAATTCTTCTGTCTGTGTGTGTGCCTGAACTCCTCCTAAACGGCTGGACCGATTTTGATGAAATTTTGTGTGTGTGATAATGTTGATTAGATAATGATTTAGATTAACAATTTGACCCGGTAGGTGGCGTTGTTGCCAAGATCCAGAAATTAACCTTGCGAAGCCGGGGCGGATCGTTAGTTTTTATGTATACTCCTTTCCTGTAGCTACCACCCTATTACCTATTTCTGCCACCAAATAGTAGTGCACTTCTGTGTTCCAGTCTAAACGGTATAGAGAGCCAGTATAATTACAGGCTGTGAAGAATTCCATCTTAGTTCTCAGAGATTGCGCTCCAAAATAAGCTATTTTATTTTTGTCATAACACGATCAATCTAATTATTCATGTAGCAAAGCATACATGTGCTTTAACAACTAACGTATATAATTTTTTATTACTTTATACGTGGTAGAGCCATGCTGCAGCTATATTAATAGTATAGTTGTAGCACGAATGGGTCGGCTCGACCTGGGAAGGACCACGCTCTCACAGAATACCGGCGTAAAATAGCAGCTAAACACTGCTGTGTTTCGTATGGTGAGTGTAGAGAACCAGAGACCCCTTTTACTGGAAAAGAGGCATCCCATCTTAGTCCTAACGGGTGATAACGCATCTGCATTTTGATTCTTTATTGAGGATATATGTAGATGTCTATGGGTTACAGCAAACACTTACCATCAGGTGGACAGTGTGCTCGTTTATCATCCTAATTCTATAAAAAAAAGTGACAACGCATCTCAAGCGTTCCGTGTTTAAAGTTAGTTGGAGGTGTCGATGAACTAGCTGCAGCCGTTTAACTTAAAATGGACTGTAAGTTTGTTTTCACTTCAGTCTTATTAAAAAAAAACAGTATAATTTATTTCCGCTCATCACTTGCACCACCAACACTGCAGTCGATTGTCCGTGGCGTTTCGCCGCTCGCTTCTTGACTTCCTTCGTTAACTGCGCCAGCAAACTATTAAGTAACTACTAATTTTGTAAGCTGTTTTACATTGTAACTTTTAATACAATTTAAATATAAATACATTTAGTGAATTTATTTTAAAGCACCTTTATCGTAGTTTTATAGATCAGCATGTATAATAATCCAACGTATCAAAATTTGGTATATCTATAGCTAGGTACACATACATAACATAGGTACAGAACATATTTAGCATCCCTATCACGGATCAATAAACTGAAATGATAATAATGAGTTTTTAAGAGCTGTCTCCATATGCGTCTCTACGGGTGACCATAATGAAAGATTGCATAACTTAATGACATATTTATTGTAGAAGAGCGTGTAATACAGTTGACGGGCAACTAGCTACTGTCTGACTGACTGAAAATCTTAGTACTAAGTAGTGAGGTACAATATTATTAAGTATACATATATATGGTAGCTAGATACAACATTACTACTTATGCATGTGTGTGCGCAGCACACCTACATTACTTCCCCCTTTACAAAAAGAATACAAAAACTTAAAACTATATAATAAACACTTGTTAATGCGCTGAAGCGCAGGGCTGTACGGAGATCCCTGTGAAGGGAGCGGCTGCCGCGGCAGGCGCGGGCGCGTGCTGCAGACTGGCGCTAGAGGCGCTTATCATCTGACCCATATTCTGGCCCGACATTGGAACGCTGGCCATGAACACTTGATGGCGAAGCCAGTTTTTGAACTTCTTATTAAACTTCATCCAAATAGTGTACAATATTATTGCTCCCATAAAACTGGCTATCACATATAACCATATTTGAAAATTATCCACTTTATTCTCTATAGTATTCTGAGCCTGAGAAACAATAACTGGTTTTTCTTGATAATTGCCCATAGTAAAAATTGTAAAACTTTTAGCACTAATGCTTCTGCAAAGGAAATATTTCAAATGAAACGAAATACATTATAACTAAACTAACTACCTAAACATAAATGAAACTGCAGTACACGCAAAATAACGCAAAATACAAAACACAATACATCTAAAATTACATTCAATTTGTATTTGTAATGTAACTTGAATAGTCTGAATGAAAATATTCTGCACCTAACAATGCAAATAATACTTTCACATCCATACTAGCTAACTTGAATATTATTTAAACATGTAATTATATTGCATATATAATACATTTTATGTTAACACTAACTTATATTAAATCGTGAAGGTAATTTAACAATGCGACCACTTCGCGTTGTTTTCACGCTTATCGGGTTGCTAGGGCCGGGCGACGACGATGTCACCGGTGTGGGCGGCGGTAACGCGAACCGTACATGCGCAGGCACCACATCCGCTGCGTTGTCAGCGTTACTGTCGCTTGGCGTTGTTATGTTACCATCGCATTCCTTTAACACATATGCAGGCTTTAATCTGTCAATAGAAATATGTACCTGCCTATCGGGTAATTGAATTAGGTAAACTTTTGAAGCCCTTTTGATCACGCGATATGGACCGTCGTAGGGTGGTTTCAAAGGTTTACGTATTGAATCGTCCCGAACAAAGACATATTCACAGTTACGTAAGTCTTTGTGCACAAAAAAACTTTGACAGTTACGTGAATTGTCGGATGTAGGCTTATAACTACGAATAGTATCTCTAATCTTATCTACTAAACAATAGTCGTTGACATTACAGTTGTTCGAAGAATTGCCATAAAAGTCTCCTGGTAGACGTAAGTTTCGTCCGAAAGTTAACTCGGCGGCGCTAACCCCTGAATCGCTGCGGCCGGCCGCGCGAAGCCCCAGTAATACCGTGGGTAGCTCTTCCACCCAAGATCCATGTGACAGGCGAGTCGAAAGTGCTGTCTTTAAAGAACGATGCCAACGTTCGACTGCGCCATTGCTTTGCGGGTGATAAGGAGTAGTTCGAATTCTTTTAACCCCCAACATTTTTAACAGCTGGTTAAAAAGACTACTCTCAAACTGGCGACCTTGGTCGCTAGTTAACTTCATCGGGCAACCGTAACGACAAATCCAACCCTCATATAAATGTTTGGCAACAGTTTCTGCCGTAATGTCGCGTAACGGAAATGCTTCGGCCCACCTAGTTCTCCTATCAATTATCGTGAGTAAGTATCTATAACCATCTGGTGAAATCTCAAGAGGGCCCACGATATCGATGTGCACATGCTCGAAACGATCTACTTCCGAAAACTTAGTCAAATTCGATACCGTATGTCTGTTAACTTTAGAACGTTGACATAGTATGCACGTTTTTGCCCATAAAGAAACATCGCGATTCATACTCGGCTAGAAATACTTTTTAGCTAACATTTTTCGTGTAGACCGAATTCCAGGATGGCTCAAATTATGCAAACTATCAAAAGCTAGGCGTCGAAACTTTTCCGGTAGGTACGGACGAGCTATATTGGTAGACATTTCACAAAAAATAGGCTTGTCTAACATAGGTATAACTAGTTCTTTCAACAAAATATTATCGGTATTTAAACCAGACATAAAATTCGTAATATAACTATCGCTACGCTGTTCATTTGCAATGTCATCGAAATTCAACGCAGTTGGCATAATCACGGCTTCGACGCGTGATAAGGTGTCGGCTACAATGTTATTCTTACCGGTTATATGTTTTATATTTGTAGTGAACTCGCTTATGAAAGCTAAATGTCTCGTTCTCCGAGGCGTTTCGCTTTCATCGCGTCCTACCTTTTGAAATGCAAAAGTTAAAGGTTTATGGTCCGTATACACGGTTATTTCTTGACCTTCAAATAATTTCCGAAAATGTTTTATAGCTAAGTATATAGCGAGCAACTCGCGATCATAGGTGCTATATCGCTGTTGGGTGGTGGTCAATTTTTTGAGAAATAACCCAATGGTTTCCAGATATCTCCTTCCTTTTGTTGCAAGACTGCTCCCACGCATGTATTAGATGCGTCAGTCATTATAGCGAGTGCGGAATCCACTCTAGGGTACGTCAATGTAGCGGCCTGTGTGAGACCTGCCTTACACTGCGTAAATGCTTCGTTCGCACTATCATTCCAGACGATAAGAGTTTTATCATTTTTCTTTGAGCTTTTAAGATATTTATTTAATTCTGTTAGATATAAAGTAGCGTTGGGGAGATGAGATCGATAAAAATTAACCATGCCGAGAAAACGTCTTAGCTCTGAAATAGTTTTCGGCTTCGGAAATTCCACAATTGCCTGAACCTTATCTTGCAACGGCCTGACACCTTCAGTACTAATTTCGTGTCCCAAAAATTCTAGTTTTGTTTGTCCGAAACAACATTTTGCCAAATTAATTGAAATTCCATATTCATTAAACTTTTTAAAAATTATTTCTAAATGCTGCCTGTGTTGAACTTCGTTGTCACTAGCGATAAGTAAATCATCTAAATAACAAAAGACAAAATCAAGCCCTTGTAAAATGGAATCCATAAAGCGCTGGAAGGTTTGCGCTGCACCCCTTAAACCGAAGGTCATTCGGGGAAACTCGAAAAGCCGAAATGGTGTTATGATAGCGGTTTTCTCCACGTCACCTAGCGCGACAGGTATAAAATGATAACTTCTATTAATATCTAATTTCGAAAATATATTTTTATCCGGGAGTATAAAAGTAAAGTCATTCAAGCGAGGAATCGGGTATCTGTCGGGCCTTGTTATCGCATTCAGCTGGCGATAATCCCCACAAGGTCTTATATCTCCATTTTTCTTAGGAACTACATGGAGTGGACTAGCCCACGCGCTCTTCGAAGGACGACAGATGCCCAGTTCCTGCATGATGCGAAATTCTTCTTTAACTTTTTTATACCTGTCGGGTGGCAACGGGCGCGCTTTCGCGTGCACGGGGGGACCAGAGGTCTCGATATGGTGGACGACATCGTGTTTCGCAGTTTCTCGGAATGACGCCGGTTTAGTAATGTCCGGGTACTTTAACAATAAATCTTGATACGGATGATTCAAATCAATAGTTTTAACACTAGGTTGGGATACCTTGACAACAGATGCCGAAACATTCAATTCTGTGGTTCTATCTATTAATTTACGCGCGTTTAAATCAACTAGTAACCTGTGATACGCTAAAAAATCTGCGCCCAAAATTGGTTGTTTGACATCTGCTACCACGAATTCCCAACGATAAGGTCGACGTAAGTTTAAATTTAACACTAGTGTCTTGGTACCATAAGTTACGATTTCACTACCGTTAGCTGCGTATAATTTATATTCACTGCATTGGTTTGCACGGTCTTTTCTCACAGCTGGTAAAACAGACACATTGGCACCTGTGTCGACTAAAAATCTAAGCCCAGAGTTAATATCTGACACACACAAACGATCAAATGGAACAATGGTACAGACCTCGAGATCCTCGGACTGTACCTCGCCGCTCAGTTTTCCGGCAGCTTATGTTTCCACGCGCACGGCTCCGTACACTTGTTTGCCTTCTCCCTGAACCGGTAGTGGTAAAAGCACAAGTAGTTCTCCTTCTTGGGACGGCGGGAACCGCTACGGCGCCGGGACTGCGAACGATGACGGGTGCAATCAGGGGGACGAGACCGCGACCTCCGCTGATCGATCTGGTTCACTGTAGCCTTTATTTTAGCCACCTCAGCCCTCAACAGGGCCAAGTCAAGGGCAGCAGAAGATGTCGGCGCTGGCGCAGCGCAGGTAGTGGCGGCGGCATAGGAAGGCCGCACAGCCTCCATGACGTTATCTGCGACTGCTGCTAGGTTGTCTAAGTCCTTGGAGTCAGACACGGTGAGCACGGCTCGCACCTGTGTCGGAAGACGATTCTGCCACAGCACGCGAAGAGTTTCATCAGGAACCTTATCAGTAGCGAGCTCGCGCATCCGACGGAGCAGCTGGGATGGTTTCTGCTGGCCCAACTCTAGCTCGCTCATAAGCTTCTCGATCTGTCTCGACATTGACTCCTCATAGATGTGGAGCAATCGAGCTTTAAGTGCGTCGTACTTGTGGGTAGGAGGTGGATTTAGTAATATGTCTGTCACTTGCGCGATGACCTCCTTACTCAGCTTGGACACGACTAGGTCAAACTTCGCCTCATCGCTCATCCTCTGCGGTGTGAGGATAGCCTCCGTGCGTACGAACCACACGCGCGGCTGATCCGTCCAAAAGTCCGAGAGCCGGGACTGTAGAGACACTGAATCTACACCTGGCGCCATAATGGGCGGTGGCGCGGGCAGCTGGATGTCCTGGACGAGTGGCACGTTAACAAACGGCACGTTTTGTGGCGGTGGCGGAAGCGGCACACTCATGTTACTATTATGAATTGTCCGACCGATCACAACACACGCGAAAATTGCCCACTACTGTGTTAATATCACGTCGATCACGTCTATCACGTCGGTGTCACCAGTTTAAGAGCTGTCTCCATATGCGTCTCTACGGGTGACCATAATGAAAGATTGCATAACTTAATGACATATTTATTGTAGAAGAGCGTGTAATACAGTTGACGGGCAACTAGCTACTGTCTGACTGACTGAAAATCTTAGTACTAAGTAGTGAGGTACAATATTATTAAGTATACATATATATGGTAGCTAGTAACAACATTACTACTTATGCATGTGTGTGCGCAGCACACCTACAAGTTGATCATAATATAGCTCGAATAACCGACAACCGATGGGAGAGAAAGATTCTCGAGTGACAGCCTCGTACCGGTAAATGAAATAGGGAACCCCCCCCCCCACCCCTCATATAAGACATGCAGGATGGATGCAGGTGGCTCAGAACCATGTATAAAAATACATTACATTTTTTTTAATAGAATAAGGGTGACAAACGAGCACACAGTCCATCTGATGGTAAATGGATGCTGTGGCCCATAGAAACAGAAACAGAAACTTTTTTATTCAATATAGATTATAAATAATACTTATTGACTCTTTTGTTTAATTACCACTGGTACCACGACCTCACAGAATACCAACGTGAAGTAGAGGTTTACCTCTGCGTTTCGCTTGGTGAGTGCAGGTGGCCGGAGGTCCTTTTTACTGGAAATGAGGCATTCCATCTTAGTCCTCACGGGTGACAACGCATCTGCATTTTGATTTTGATTTTGAGGATAGATGTAGATGTCTATGGGCAGCAGCAACCACTTACCAACTTACTAACGGTGGTAGAGCCCTGCAGCAGTTTTAACGGTGGTAGAGCCCTGCAGCAGTTTTTTGCTGTTGCACGTTTGGGCCGGCTCGAGCCGGGTTGGTACCACGACCTCACAGAATACCGGCGTGAAGTAGAGGCTCTGCTTCTGCGTTTCGTCTGGTGAGTGCAGGTGGCCGGAGGCCCAATTTCCCCCCCCCCCCCCCCATCAACATGGTAGCGGAATTAGACAATAGACTACCCCAGGAGGGTACCAGTACCCCTGGAGAATCCCTCGCTGAGCATCCACGACCATGTTATTCCAATCCTGAGCGTGGGTGCTCAGGCTGCCCCGCGTATTCTGGGGGGGGCAAATTCCGCTCAAAAACAAAACTGCTCGGGGCAAGCTGAGCAACAATACCAAGGCGACCCCTGCCACGCTATCCGTGAATTTCTGCAACATCAGGGGACTTCACTGTAACCTAAACGCCGTCCACTACCATCTCGAGACGGCGAAGCCGGCCTTGCTCTTTTTGACCGAGACGCAGGTTTCCTCTCCGACTGATATTTCGTATCTCTCCTACCCGGGGTACAAATTGGAGCACTCCTTTGTGCCTCGGGCTGGAGTTTGCGTGTATATTAGAGAGGACATCTGTTCTCGACGCCTCGACAGTCTTGAAGGTTCGGACCTGTCCATCCTTTGGCTACGCGTAGACAGCGACGACCATCCGCGCGTCTACGCGTGCCTCTATAGGTCCCATAGCGGTAATGCCGAAACAGACCGACTCATCGACCACGTCCAAATGGCTACAGATTCCTTGCTACAACAGGTCCCATCCGCAGAGATCGTGATCCTTGGCGATTTTAACGCCCACCATGCCGAATGGCTCGGTTCACGTTTAACCGATCATGCGGGGAGATCTGTTTATGACTTTGCCTTGGCATATGGTCTGACACAACTGGTTACTTCGCCTACGCGGATTCCAGATGTGGAGGATCATACACCTTCCCTGTTGGACCTTCTGCTGACCTCTCATCCGGACGGATATCAGGTTTCCGTCGATGCCCCTCTCGGCTCTTCGGACCATTGTCTGATCCGGAGTATGGTGCCACTCACGCTCCCTTCGCGGTTGCGTTCTGCAGGTTGCCGCCGTGTTTGGCATTATAGGTCGGCGGATTGGGACGGAATGCGGTCTTTCTTTGCATCCTACCCATGGGGGCGGGTTTGCTTCTCGCCGGATGATCCCAGTGCTGTTGCTGACTCTGTCACTGATGTGGTGCTACAGGGAATGGAACTATTTATTCCATCATCTGTGGTACCCATCGGAGGCAGATCTCAGCCTTGGTTTGGTCGCTCCTGTAAGACTGCATTGCGCAGTAAGCAGGAGTGTTATCAAGCCTGGGCTGCAGCTTCGGTGACTCGGGATGTAAACACCAGCACACTTAAAAAGAAGTATAACTTCGCCTCCAGGTCCTTCAAAAGAGTTATTGCCAAGGCAAAGTCAGAGCACATAGGCAGAATTGGCGAGAAACTAGTTCGCCTTCCTTCGGGAACCCGTGCATTCTGGTCTCTCGCCAAGGCTGTCCAAGGGAATTTCTGTAAGCCATCACTACCATCTCTGCACAGGGAGGATGACTCACTGGCCCATGACGCAAAAGACAAAGCCGACCTTTTAGGCTCCCTTTTTGCGTCCAACTCGACTCTTGATGACGGGGGGAAAACACCGCCGACCATCCCGCGGTGTGAGTGCTCCATGCCGGATGTGCTGTTCTCACAGCGCTCGGTTCGCAAAGCACTGCTCTCCCTGGACATCCAGAAGTCGAGTGGGCCTGACGGAATCCCCCCAATTGTGCTGAGGACGTGTGCTCCGGAGTTGGCACCGGTCCTAACGCGTCTTTTCCGGTACTCCTACTCCCAAGGCGTAGTCCCGAATTCATGGAAGACAGCTTTTGTCCACCCGATCCCTAAAAAAGGCGACCGCTCAGACCCGTCCAACTATAGGCCTATCGCGATCACCTCCTTGTTCTCCAAAATAATGGAATCCATTATTAACTGCCAGCTCATCCGGTACCTTGAGGATCACCAGCTGATTAGTGACCGCCAATACGGTTTTCGTCGGTGTCGATCAGCTGGTGATCTTCTTGTCTACCTGACCCATAGATGGGCGGAGGCAGTAGAGTCCAAGGGGGAGGCGTTGGCCGTTAGTCTGGACATTGCGAAGGCCTTTGATCGGGTTTGGCACAAAGCGCTTCTTTCAAAGCTGCCTTCCTATGGGCTTCCCGAGAAATTGTGCAATTGGATCACCAGCTTTCTTGCAGATCGGAGCATC